AACTAAAATTATAGATTACTTTTTCTACTAATGATATATAAATCGTTCATTAAAAACGACTATTTAATATCGATTATAATGATTTTATTATTATAAAATAATTRTTCACTTACTAAATTATTTCCATTTTGGCTGCTTAAATATTTTTGACTCAGTTCATAAAGCTCCAAAGCAGGCTCTACCTACAATTAATATATATWGTTGATAATAACAATACCAAATTATAATTCCCATTTATTTACCTTAACAGTTACACTTGTTTCTGATGATTTTATCATATCAATAATTTCATCTCTATTTTTATCAGAAACAGGACTACCATTTACTTCTAGTAATTTATCTCCAGGAAGAAGTCCAGTGTAATGGGTTTTATCTTGTCCTGGTTCAGCAAAAATCACTGGTTTTAAACTTTTGGCTGCGTTTTCTGACACAAGCCCACGTCTTAATGAGAATCCAAAATCACTACCAGGACCTGCTCTTCTATTAATAGTTAATATTCGAGGCTCTATCTTCACAATGGGAACATATGGGAGTTTTAARTTTTCATCAAACTCATCAGTTAAATAATCATTGCCAGAAGGACTAAGRTTAAATGGTGTAGCAAAACTGCTATTTGTTGTTGAATCTGTAAGGCTGTCAATACTTGATACTCTTGGAACATTTTCATACACAATTAATTCATTTTTTAATGTATTRGTTTGTAAAAGAAAATCTGAATCAAGATCCTGTAATGGTCCATGTTCTAAAATTGGTGGAGGTTTAAGAATACCTCTTCGAGGTGGAAGAGGAGGGGTTTGAACAGATGCATCAGTCTCGTCACGATTTAATGGAGCAAARAAGTTGGCACTGTAATCTGCAGTTATTCCACTAGGCAACTTTTGTTTTTCTTTACGCCTAGTACGTAGTTTTAATGATTTCCTCACCTGAAAAAATTAAACAAAATAATATATAAATTTATTTTGAAACAATATTTAAATTGTTTTCTTACTTCATCCAATCTTAACAAATCATCAGAAGACATGCTGAAACTGCCTTTTTCTTTTTTTTCTTTTTCTTTRCGCATTTTTTTCATTTTTTTTCTTTGCTCTTTTTCTTCAGTTTGATTATTGGCAGAACCCTGTGACCCATATCCAGAACTACTTCCATTATTCACCACATTGTGGGAACCAGAACTTTTCTTCATAAAATTGAACATCACGATTGATAATGGTAAATTATGATCCTAAAACTGTTTTAAAACTTAAATTAATATCTTTTGATCAAAAATAATTTAAGAATTATTTCGGACATTTGGCTTTTTAAGTAATAATGAACTGTAAATATGCAATAAAACACTAAGTTAATTTATAACACTATCATGAAAAGTCATATATTCACATCAAAAACAATTATATATTAAATAATAGTTAAAACTTTTGAAAAACAACATTTTAAAAATGTTTTTGAAACAACAAATAAAGGTTTTATAAGATATAATGCATGCATATGGGTGCTACCAATATTCCGGCAAACTCAGAAAATTGAACATTCCAACCAACATCAATGAAGCATTAGGACCAAGCATTGAAAAATTCGCAAATATGTTAGCTTTCCTAAGAAAACACGTCCTATACAATAACATTTAAACCTTCTGCTAATGATAAATTGATAACCATAATATTAATGTTAGTAGAAATCAATCATTATGTATTAAACAAAAACCTAATAACCTTAATTGTTGAYTTTTTTAAGTTCAATAAAAAAAAAATACATGCATATTATTATTTTCTTCAAACAGCAGTTCTTACCTGTAGCTACTCTGTTATTCTAAAAAGGCATTAAACCAACATTCTAACAAGATCAGAAATGTATTTTACATGCAACTAGGCTTAGTAACCATGATTTTTGTTCTGAAAAAAAAAA